TAGGTTAAGTATTTTGACGCTAGCGATTTTAATAACTTAAAAAAATCGTTTTATGGTAAAAATTTAGGTCGAAAATTTACATATCGTCCTGGGAAAAGTTTAAATCAAACAGATAACTCCAGTTTGAATTTGTTTTTGTCAAGCACATTTTTACAAAAAAAACAAGCTAATGTTGATAAAAATACATAAAAAAATGACGAAGTAATGAATTTTTTAGTGGAAGACCTAAATTCAGCTTTTTGACGATTTTTATTTAATTTTTTTTTATTTTATTTTGTAATATGTTTATTCTTTAATGAAAACCTAATTAAAGTGCACGATTGGAATTTTTTGAGTTTTTTACGTACTTTTTCCACCGAAAACATTATTCAAAATTTAAATTTGACTTGACCCCGCAAACTTGAATTCTTTTGTTTCTCGTGTTGGCATAGTGACATTTGCTGATATTTTTGATATTTCAACAAGGTATTTTTTATAATGGTTTTATTTATTTAATAAAAAGTGTAAAATGAGTAAAAGAAGTAGGGGAGTTCGAGTGTGTAAATAACCCGGACAATCTGGGCGACGTAAGTGATGAGCACCGAGGACGTTTTCTCTAGCATTTGAAGGCTATGGAGCGGCGGTATCACCTTCTGGGATGCAGCCATGATGGCTGATTACATTTGGTCCCTCATACGAGAAACGAAATACAAAAGCAACCAAAAAACAAAGAAGGAGCCAGAATTTTTTAAAACCTATAGGTTAAAAAAAATATATGCTTATTACAACAAAATAAAACTTTCAATATCTTCAATGTTCAATATTTATTGTTCAATATTCAATATATAATTTAATTTCAATATTTAATGTTTAAAATAAAAATCAATGTTCAATATTAAATTTTATATAATTCAATAAAATGAGTATGAGTATAAGAGACGTATAACCAGCCCCATTTCCTCTTGACTCTCGAACCCCGTACAGGCCTATGTTTACTTACGCCGATTTTTGTTCTTCCCCAGCAACTGCACGGCTTCACCCGTGTTTGCTGGGTGCGAATGTTCATTGCGTTCCGTACTGTCCCCTATTTGGGGCTCGAGAGCGAGAGGCGAATAGTTATAATAGCCATTCCCGGGTTCGCCGAGCCTATGCTATACGCTCAGTGGGGTATGGAGGAGGGACGGGAGGGTGTTGGTTTTTGGGGGACAATTACGCCGACTTAAAACTAAGTACGACGCGGAATCCCCCTAGACCAGTCGATTAGTATTACTCCAAACATTTGGGATTACTATTTGGAGTTGGGGAGTTGTTATTTCGCTGCAGGGGTGTAGTCTCCTAGTCGAGGTCTTTGTCTTGTTCGTTATTGTCATTGTCCGTGTCCTGGTCAGATAGTTCCTGCCCTTGGTAAAGTGTGTCAGTTGTTTTTAATAATTTTTGTCCCAAGCACGTTTTGTGGTAGAGTTCCGTCTTTGTTTATCAAATTCCAAAGCATTGCATTTATTCACTAGTCAAACAAATCACAAGCGCGATTATTCTGTTGTCTAATGTTTACGAATCTCGAGTTTGGCTATTAGGCCCTTTTTTTTAATGTGTTAGAATTATGTGATCAATGTTAGTTTACTCTGTCAGTCCAGTGCACAGTGTGTTAAATTGACCATCCAGCCAGACAAAACCTAAATGACATAAAAAAATAAAAATTTTCTTTGGAAGCGGGGTATTTGGGTTCACTGAATCCAAATCTGACATCCAAAATGCAGAAATTAAATTCGTTAATTACAAAATGGCCGGCGCCTTGTAATAAAAAATAAACTTTCGGCTTCGTCGAAAATTGGTCAACTTTCGTTTTTCCAAAGAAATTTTTAATCCGATAAATGCACATTCGCTACCATTTTGCAATTGACCTTGAATTTTTGTCCAGTTTTAGTTTTCAATCCAGAAAGCTGCAATTTGGAGAATCAATTAGTTTTACCATCCAAATTTGCAGTAAAATGCATAAATAGTAAATTTTGCTGATAAATTGTTTTTTTAATTAACTCAACTTTTTAAATACCATCAGAGTGGCTGCTAATGTTTTTTTAAATACATATGTTTTCCCCAATCAAAACCAACCAATGTCATAAAAATTCGGTTAGTGTTTTCCACGAAAATTACACTTATGGAAAACTTAAATTACAAAAAAATTAAGATCATTATAAAATTCCCGCGAAAGTGTAAGTATCGAATTCAAAATCCTCTCCCGACTTGAAATATGCAAAGATATGCATAGGGTTTCATTAAAAACAAAAGTTGGCATTATTTCCGGGGAAACCGGAAGTTTTGTGGTATCCATTGAAGGTTGAAATAATTATAAATTAACTCTTTATTATTGCTCCCAAATTTCAACTCTATTCCAAAATTTAATAGTAAAAAAGGAGTGAGCCGGTTTTTGGTTTCACCCTGTAGAAGAGGCAAATTGGGGCAAGAAATAAAGGCACATAAGTAACCTTTAGACGTTATAAAACAAAACAAATATTGATAGTGCACCCGATATTGCTCGATTACAATACTTCTTGCTTAATAAATATTGTCCATATTTAACAACACCAAGTGAATTTCTATATCTATAGCCTGTTGCTGATTACTGATATTATAAATCCCTTATTATAAAAAATAAGTAATATATACCTAGATTCATAGCGGCAAAGTTCAAAATTTGATTTAACTTGAAACAATGTCAAAATCACTCCACCTTTCTGCCACACATACACGGCTAAGTATATTTATAAAGAATGATACGCCCGGAACTGGCACCTTCATAGTGCTGAATACACTGTTACAGTACGTTCTAATTAATGGAAATCATAACAGGGAGAACTGAAGAAGCTTATTTAATTAAATTTGTCTTAATTTCAGGTTGTTTTAAAATTAGGTTTTGTCTAGCTAGACAATCAATTCAACACACTGTGCAGTGTTTATTTTCGGTCTCGATTGGGACCGCCTTACGCATTTGCTGTTGACAGACTTATTGCCCCACACCGCGTGCCCTTCATAGGTTTTAAAGATATCCCAATAAACACTTTAACGATACCTATCACCATTAACATTGCCCGTGTAAGAATTTTTAACACTTTTTAATACAATTTTGCAATGATAGTAATTAAAAACAAAACAATTGTTTAAAGAGTAAAATATGATCTTAACATAATCATATTTTAAAGTTATTTTAACATTTCAAGTAAAATAAATGTTATGTTTAATAAAATGAATACGGGCAATGTTAATGGTGACAAATACTTTTTTTTCAAATTTAATTTAAAACTAGCTTAATACAAAATAAATAGCCGGCCCTGTGGTGCATCGCATTAAAATCTGAAACGGCCCCGGTATCAGGCGTGTAACGTATGCTTCAATAGATGGTTTATTTACGTTATGTTATTGCGTGGGCGCTTTGTTTATTTACCTTCCTTCAAGCTTTGCCTTGTGGCTGAGTTGCAAGTCGCGTATATTATACAATATATATAATACAATAATATAATATTGCGACGTTCCTGCTTGATTCCTTTTCGCACACTTACGCTGTTTTCGGCAATGGTTAATTGTTGCCAGTTTTTTTTTTACAGATTTGCGTATTAGGTCATGCAATAATACTTATCAGAGTCGGCTGGTGATGGTGATGGTGATGATCCCTTTCGCTCTTTGTTAGACTTGTTTTTTCTTTAAATAGGTGATTCCTTGACCTGTCCCCTGTCACTTTATTACTTCGTGTCCGCACGAACCTCACTCCTATGTTCACCGTTAAGAGATTGCCTTTTGAGGAATTATTTAATGTTTCTATTAACCCCTCGGAGAACAGGTACCCTGATTTCACCTGTACCGTTATGTATACATACTATAGTCACCCAAATAGTAGCACTGTTTCGCACCGTACTTTACTCGACTACACTGTATATAATAGTTATGTTTCTTTAAAAATTTTATTGTGGATCGGCACCGAGCGCTCGAACATCCGCTCGCTTCGCCGGTATCGACAGTACTGAATAAAATGAAGAAAAAACGTAAAGTACTGAATAAAATGAAGAAAAAACGTAAAAATTCTCAAAAACTGAATTTTTGTCTTCTACTGAAAAATTCATAACTTCGCCTTTTATCCATGGAGTTTTATCAACAGCAGCTTATTTTTTATTTAAGTATAATCTATACGTAAAATAAATCAAACTGGACTTATCCTTTCGATTTCTACATTTCTCAGAAAGATATGTAAATTTTCGACCTCGATTTTTGTAAAACAAAAGGACTTTTTCAACTTCATAAAATCGCCAGTATCTAACTACTGAGCCAATACCAAAACTATACCAGAGAAAGTTGCAGAGGGCTCAATCACCCTTGATTTAAGTGCTTTTTTAATCAAATCGCTCAATTAGAACTCGAAGTATACTCTAAAACACCTCAGAAAATGTAATTTTCGCGTTTAGTGAGCCTAACTACACAAGAAAATCATAGTGAGACATGGTGGGCAAAATGGCTGTAAATTAGTATAATTAAAGTTACATAAAGTATAAGTTAAAATATTTTAAAATTAGCTTTTGGATAGCGTCCGGTCGAAATATTGTTTAATAAACATTTATTATTTAGTTTTGAACTAGTTTCTCTGATATTAAAAAAATGAAAATGTAACAATAAACCTGTTTCTTGTAGGCAGTTCACTTTCAGTAATATCCTAATTCCTTATTTAGGTAGTATTAACTTCTTTGGGTTAATAATAAAAGCGAGAACAAAAAGCAATCTCGTACAATGTATTTGCTCTCTTATAATTTAAATATATCCTATAGGATCAAATTTTGAAAACGCATACAATTCAAATATATAAAAGCGCGAGTTTTTTTATCAAGATTTATGGAATGCGTTTTATGAGAATATAATAACGGCTTCTAAACGTAAATCTTTTTTTGTTTCTTCTCGATATTTCCCATTAGAAAAAGCAATAAATCATAGAGTAAGAAAAAATGGAGGAACAACGAAATGCTAAGAGCACGCATCCTTACCAATGGGGTTTTCCTTGTGTTTACTTCAGGTGGAGGCGGTAATATATCAAGTTGCGGCGTTCGCTGGTTTTTAGCATTCTCCAGAAACGAATCTCTGAAACTGCCGTCGTCTGGGGGTAACGACATCTTGTCACTGGCACCTTCTGATATAATATCTAAAATAGAAAATTAATGATTAATTTTAACTATTTTACTATTCCGCGAAGAATAAGGGAAAATAAATTGTCCTTTAAAGAAACAAAAAAAGGGTTTTATAATAAATTACAGACTTTTGCATAAATTTAAAATACCTACAATGTGCTTTAATAAAACATAAAGTCACCTAAATCAAACATATAATAGACCACTTACTAAAAACGACTTATCTTGGGATTTAATATTGGTGATGGAAAGTCGTTTAATGTAAAAACTTGAAAACTAAAAATGATTCTACGAATCCTGCATTTTTACACCTACTTGAATTTTACAATAAATTTCAGGCGGTTAATGTGCGTAAATTGAGCTAAAAAGTTATTTAAATGAAAAACACAATATCTGACCAATTTTTTAAGCCTGTTCATAATTTTTTGTATTGCATTTATAAAAATACTTAAAACTATAGCGTATTGCTGCCAGTTAATTTATTAATAAACATATATTTGACCCATTTTAATCACAAAATGCAAATTTAAACAAATTTCACCATTATTGAGAGCCATTAACTCACATTATACCAAAACAATGTATATCTAATTATAAATCAATGGTCCCAGTTGGTCCATAGAGAATTAGGCCTTCTATTGTCAACTCAACGCTTATAGTTATAGGTACATCGATAATTCTCCAATAAAGCACATAATCTATCTACTAAAATTTATTTGATTAATTCATCATTATTATACTGTAAGGCAAAATAGTTTCTTGTGTCATTAGGTCAAGGAGTCTTTTTGTGCTGACCGAATTGCCGAATTTAAACTTTGAGGCACAATTTGTTAAACGATACATAAAACGAAAAGTTAGGTATAATAATAATTAAAAGTAAAAAGTGAGGTTAAGTACTACTTAATAAGTAGATCTGACAGAATAGTTTTTTTATTGGTGAAAAATTAATTTTTACTCTAGAGGCTGTAAAAAAAACTATCCGGATTGGCCTAAATCATTTTTGAGTGGCTATAAGCTATAGCCAATCACTTTAGTAACGAGTGTTGACAACAATAATATTTAACTGATGACCGATGAAGATAAAAGTATTTACTTGTTTTACATCTTTTATATTTCAAATTTTATATTTCTGTTTTTAAATGTAATTACTAATTACCTACATTGTTCAGGTGAAGAAAAAAGTGGATAAATTCAATAAAAAAATTGATGATTTTACAAAAAAAATGCAGTAGTAGCCTTTGAGCAGAATTGGTTTGATGGTTTAAAAGTTAAAAATATTTGTTAACATAATTTTCATATTTTTGATGTATGGTTTTTGGGTTTGTTCCTATTGTTTCTTCATGCTCCATATATTTAATTTTTTAGAGTAATCCTGGTCCACTCAGTATATAGACAATATTGTTAACCTATTTTATCTACTCCTACATTGACGAGCTGTGACTTTATGGCGTTTTATTGACGGGCTGAAGTTAGCTTTATTATAAATTGGGAAAAAGTGAGGTTAAATTCGGGTAACAGTTGACAGATGTCAAAATTTTCACAAATAAAATTGGCCTTAAATTCTGTTTTCTGTTCGTCGTAGATAAAGTATAGTATGCAACTCATTTATAAACTTCTCTAGACAATCGTTTTTATTAAACACTCGCTCGCAAGCTTCGTTCGTGCTTAATTAAACTCGTAACTAAAATGGCGTTTATAAAACTTGATACATAATATACTATTTTAGATGGCACAAAAATTATAACACGAGTGCATGCAAGTCCTTAAAAAATCAGAAAGTGGCGCTAGGCGATAAGTGTCAACAGACTGCTGTTGATTTAAGCAAACAACTTTTGATATTTTTTCACGATGTAGTGCTTAAACAATTTTATTTAAAAGCCCACACCGAAAAATATCAAATTCAAGTTAATGAAACATCTGTAGCATTAAATAACCGTCATACAATAGATGAATGGAGTTTATGAATATGAAAATGACCGAATGCATTTTTTAAAAGGCAATATGCTTGAATGCAAAATTATCTGATTATTTTTATGCACGAGTGTAATTTGTTTAGATAATTACACGAATAAACTAATTTAATCAAAGAATAACATTTTCAATTATTTTTTGTTGTTTGCAGTATTTTTTGGTACACTGTTTTTCACATTTTAATTAATTGATTCAAATGATTCTTTACCAAAACGTGAAATTTTAAATAATTGTCACATTAAAATAAAAACTGACGTTATTTTTATTAATTGCCATGGATACGTAGATACAATGGAATTATCGATTCCTAGTAGGCAATTATCGCGATAATTGTCTTGTAGGCATATATAAGAGGGTAATTATCACTGTAATTTTTATAAAGTAAGTAAATTAACTAGATGAACATGAATATGCCAAAATAAGTATTTCAGTATACTTAAAGAATCGTGTTCCGAAAATATATAGTTTACCTTACAGGCGAGAGACGTAAATGATTCGTTAAGTAATTTTCATTGTAACCAAATATATTTATTTTTATAACCTTACTTTTTACCGATTTTTATGATCATTATAGTCGCCCCTGGTATATATAAAAAATCTGACATCTGTTAGAAAGTTCCCACCTCACTTTTTCCCAATTGGATCATCATGATTGTGATTCACAATAAATATTGAAATCAGCTAATCACTGATGCCTACCAACGTGAATACGCGCAACAAATTTATTTATGATACAAAAAATAAGTACTAAAAGCAGTTTATTCCTAATTTATTATTATGACGACTTATTTATTTAATAGCTATTTACATACCATGGGAGGAAAATAGTGCTTTTCCTCCCGCGAATAGTTTGATGCCCGACGCGAAGCGAAGGGCATTAAAAATTCAAGGGAGGAAACGCATTTTCCTCCTGAGGTAGGTATATAGTTCTTTCTATGACCTTTTAATGGTTTTAAGACATTTTAAGCGTTCCGGTTCCTTTTACTAACCCGGTATGGGGCTATAAAATTATGACAAAATATTAAGTAGGTTTTGCGTCGCCGACGTTATGTTGTCAACGGTTTGTTGCTATGGTATTGTTGGTAATACAAACATAACAGTTTTTATAAGCTGTCAGAATGTTTATAATAAATTTAAAATTCTTCCTACGTTTTAAAAATGAGTTTTAGTGAAGAAGACCTGCCGCAAGATCTTGCTAAAGAGGCAAGAATAGTTGCAATTAATTTCCTTCCTTAAAAATCGAAAAAGCGATATCAAAATGAATATAGTTTGTTCAAAGAATGGTTGGACAAGCGCGGAGTAAATCTTTTTCCTACAAAATCAAATAGGGCTAGACAAGGTACAAAAAATCTTGCTAATGTAAAATTGTTAGAAAAAAAGAGGAAGGAAAATTTTTTTCCTCCCTCGTTCGGGGGAGGAAAATTAAGTTTTCTAATAAGGTAGTAGAAAAAACATATTTATCAACTACTAAATTGACGAACTGTGACTTTATCAACAGTGGTGTTTTGGCATTTTAGTTGCGAGCTTTATTATAAATTCAGAAACAGTAAGGTTAAATTAGTCAAGTGTCAAATATTTATGGATTAAAATTGGCTTTAAATTATTATTTCTGTTCGTCGTGGATAAAGTACAGTATGCAACTCGTCTTCCAGCGGTGCTTTTGGGAATCCACTCAGCTTGAAAGGAATATATGGCCAATCGTTGCGACTTTCAGGAAAGCTGTTAACACCACGAATCCCTGAGGGCGACGACATCAACGCGGAGACATTCGTTAAACAGCTCAGGCAGCGGTTGCAGAATATAAGACCTGCAGTCACTCGTCATAGCGACAAGAAGACCTTCATTTTTAAAGACCTTGCGACGGCGCACAGTGTTTCAATTCTCGAAAAATTTACATTTTTTTTCAGGTAATTTTGAGTTAGATGGGTAGTTAATACATGTCTCCATCCTGTATTGAAAATTTTTTATATAAAATACGTATATTTTGTCTTGTACATCAGTTTAAACTTGACGCTTTCAGTTGAAGGTATACCTTCAACTGAAAGCGTAAGTATACTTTACACGCGATCGATGCGGAAAATTGTTTAAAAGTAAATAACTTGTGTTTGGGCTATCCGATTGTTATGCGGTTTGATGAAGGGTGATCTTCAAGGTATGTAAAATTCAGATATGTATTTGTTTTTCGTAGATTTTGCTTGTACAACGGGTTATTGCACTGTTTAAAATATCTGTGGTGTAAAGAGTAATCTTAAAATGGTGTCAAAATCCAACTCCAAGTGGTGTTAATATAACACCATGAATTATGGTTGAAAATGTTATATATAGCAAACACCAAAACGGTGTTTATCTAAAAATATTTGAGAAGTGCAAAGGCGGTGTGGATCACGTGATGTTCTTAAATCTCGCCTCTGTTGACTTACATGAAGAATATATAAGCTCAGGTAGTCCTTTGCTTTGGTGTGACACTACAAGTTGTTCGATACTAAAGAGACCTTAAATAGGTGAAAACAGCTGTCAATACTTGAAGTATTTTAAGTTAGCGGAACGCTCTAAAAACTTTATCTGTAGCGAGTTAAAGGTTTCATTTTCTGGAATAATACCACTGGTAATATACTAGTAATGCGTCAAGGAACTTCCTGTTTCCTTTTTTTCTGTGTAGTATGATTTAATTTGACCACAAACACATAATATTTCACACTGAAAAGGAGTTCAATTTACACCAGGTAAAATTTATTTTAATACTCTGTGAAAGTTAAATTAACACTATTTTAGTATTTGAATTTACACCAGACCAACGAACCATATTTAACACCATTTTGGTTTGTATCGATATAGACCATGTATGGTGTTAATTTGGTGTTAAAATGGTCATGAAATTTTGAACAGTGTGTAACCGACAAGATCGGTCTGTTAAAATCGCAAACTTTGAATCGAGCTTTTAGAACAAAGGAGCTACAAAAATTGTAATGAATTGTAAGGGATCAGTTTAAGATCCTATCAAGCCATCAATAAATTATCTGCCCCCCTGGTTTGGGTCCCATGT